AGGAGATTAGAAGTCTCGACATTATTCTTTCTTTCTTCCTTCTTCAATCCTCAGCCATGAATGCCATCTCTTCCTTCTTCGATTCTCAACCTGGTACCAGATGCTGGAGCTATGATTCTCTCAAGGAACTTCCGTCAGATATTTTCGTCCGTGCATAATCATCTTAAGCTGGTAACTTCTAATATTGATCTGAGAGTAGATTTTCGTTTTCTGGATAATTTGATCGGTTTGATTGATCTCGATTGCATCTTAATTGGTAGGATTTGGTTACAGTTTATGGTGTTGATGAACAAAATCGTTGCGATTTAACTTTCCCTGAGTTTCTACTTGCGTCTTTTTGTGTGTGGATTGAGACATATGACTCTAGAGGGGATTAATTAGTTGGTTCATAGTTTCTTGCTACCATGTTAATGATTCAAATCATCTAGTTTTAGAAAATTGATCCCGTAAACCCAAATTTACTTCACTGATTTTGTTGTGAGGGAACATCGCTTATTGATTAACTTTGTGATATTCATTGTGGAATTTGCAGGTTAAAATCATGATAAGTGTTGGCTAGGTTATGGAGATGATTTGTGTTTTTTGATACGGAGAACTAAAGATATTATTGTTTCTTTTAATTTTGTCAATTAAAGATTATTTATCTACTAGTATTAAGACCTATGTTAAGTTCGATTAGTGATAATATAAAGAGTGTGAATGTGTGTAGTGGGTAGGGCGGGACCACGTGCGGGAACCAATACAGTCACCATTCACAAATTTTTTTTGAGTTTGGACAGCCTTTGCATTAATTGCAAAATGACAAAACCACATCACATCTGCGGGACAAAAGGAGATGGAACGCATGTGAACCGCAATTGAGAGAAATAAGGTGTGGTTAGGAGTGTTTTGGATTAAAAAAATAAAAAAAAATATTTTTTACACTCTGAAAAAAAATCAAGCCAAATTTTCTATATAAATCAAGTCTAGTGAAGAACATTGTGCACACACACACAAAAACTCARAAKCATCTGCAYAAATAAAAAACACGAGCATTAGCACAAAAAAAAACACAAGCTCTCAATATATTTTCCTTCAGATTACCAGCTCAGGATTTGAAAAAAAAAATTCAATAAAATCAGGTAATTTCTTTTCAAGTTTAGTGTGTTTGTTTTGCAAAATTATTCTTATTTGTGTGAAAATTTGATATGTTAAACTCCATTTTTTCATTTTTTATATATAAAAGAAAAATAAAACAAGTGATAAATTTTTTTATAACTATGTTAATTTTAATAAAACAATTATTACAACAAATCTGGACTAATATGTTTAGTTCTACTTCTGGACTATAATTAATTTTTGTTTATTTTTATTTTAGATAAAGATGTTTCATTTCGTTTCAAATTTAGTGTTCATTAGATAAATCATAAATCTTTTGAAATATGTCAAACTTTATCATTTTATCTTATAAAACTATCTTTTAAAATAACAAAGACAAATCGTTCACCATGTTTCTTCTTTAGCTCGTTAGTAAAATATATATATATAAGCATGATGCAACAATCCAAAATGAAACATCAATCTAAAGTTGACAAGAACAACTCGAATGGTTTCCAGCAAAATATATTTGATGATGAACCTGTTTCAGCTGATATGGAAGCATCAGAAATAGCAGATGGAGAATATATGACGCAAATAAGAGACAATATCGCAAATATGTATTGGGAAAATCAATAGTTTTCAATAATTTTATTTTTTTGCATTGTATTGTACTTAAAACAGTTTACTTTATTTTTCCAACAAAAATAGTTCTTAAAATTTTATAGTACAAATTTTTATATTTAAATAATATTTGTTTGTATGCTTATTAAATTAAAAAAAATCATTTTTCATAGATAAATATGAAACTATATGTATCCCGCACCGCTATTTGCATTTTTCACCATTCAAAACTTTACTTTTGTCCCACATGTTGTTTTTTTACCATTCAAACATTATCCCGCACCGCACCTCTTAAACCGCTTTTTTCCGCACCGCACTTAAACCGCACGGCACCTCTTAAACCGCTTGTCCCGCACCGCCCAAACAGTTGTCACCATTCGAAGCCAAAAATGGTAAATTATTTATAAAAGAAGGATAAAATGGTCTACGGTGATCTATTTTTTAATTTAAAAAAACATGATCTATTTCTTTAATTTTAATAGTTTTTTAGCCTATTTCCTTAATTTTCCTTTGTTTTTATGATTAAATATGTAAAAATAAAATAAAAAAATCAGATCATTTGCAAACTATACAAATTGTTATTACTCTGATCTTAATTTCTATGATACAAGTTTAAAAAGATAATAATTTTTTCCCACATTTTGTTTATAGTTTCTACGGTACAAGTTTTTAATTTGTATAGTTTTAAACCTATACAAGTTTGTTTTAAAATACTACATAAACTTTTCTTTTTTGTAACAAAAAAAAATTACTAGGTTATTCCCAAAAAATAAATCTAGGACAATATATTAGGAGTGGACAAAAAAATCGTTATATAACAAAACATATCTAGAAGTATTAAAAAAAATAAAGAAAATATTCATTATACAAAA